ATGAGAAAGATGATTCTCACGTCAAAGCAAGAAAATATACAGCTAAATGTAAGTATCAGTGTAGAAAAGGATTTCAGAGAAATTCAAAAGAAGACCCGAAAGCACAAACAAAAGCAGGGTTTAGTGTTGAGCTTATTCAGACTTGCAGGAGTGTAGTCAAGCGCAAAGCCTGAGGACAACATAGTCCAAAGAAAAACAACTCAAAAAGCAGCCGCAGGAAACATGAGAGAAAACGCTGGCAGTAAATTTTGGAGATGAACACAGATGGACTGATGATGGCTAACAACGAGAAAAACCAGAGTAAAAATACCCCGAACATTGTGACCACTGACAGGTAAAGTGAATAACACTCATTATCTCTTCATCATGGCACCTGTTAGTGGGTGGGATATATTAAGGAACCAGGGAACATTTTGCTGTCAGAGATGATGTGTTAAGGGGGGGAAAGGCTATTGTGAGGATATTAGCAAGTTGTGTTGGTTAGACGACTGGGTCAGAAAGTCTCCCAAATTGCAACTCATGTGTGACGTTTCTGGTCTGCAGTGGTCAGTATTGATCAAAAGTGGTCCAAGTCGTGGGCAGCCAAGGCTTCCTGGTGCTGACCCATGTGGTCGAGTACGAAAACATTAATGCTATTTATTTATTTTTAAAGTTAATGTTGATTCTGATAGATAGTCAGAATGTTATGCTTGATCGGTGCACATAAGTAATTAACCACATGAGAAATTAATGAGGGATGACCAAACAATCTCAAATGGCTGGAAGGAAATAAAAAAAGCAAGTAAAAGCAAGAGAGACAGTAAATACCAACAAAGTGAAATGCAAAGCATCTTCTGGCATAAAGCGGTGACAAAGCGCTCTGGTAGATCTGCCAAAAAGAAGACAATTAAATAAAAAAACTTACATATATATGCAGGGCTCGCAAAATTGCTAGCCCGACGTCCCGGGGCTAGCGCTTTTTCCAGTCGGGCTACCAAAATCTATCTCTGCCCTGCCCGTCGGGCTATCATAGAAAGGAAAATTATATGTTAATGCTTTTGCATTCTTTCGGAAATGTAGCTGGGTAATTATGTCATTGGCATCG